GACCATATCTCCAATGAATACACTCTGGGCTCCCTATTCCCCGCACTATTCACCACAGGGCCAAGTACCAGACAACCAGGGACAGCCTCTTATACCCCAGAGCTTGCTGAAATTATTATAACTAGCTAATCCTAAACTTGCTTAGCCTGCCTCACCTGTTCCTTCCCACGGAGACCACAGTAAAGACTCTTGTCCATGTACTCCCCTTGATTTCTCTGCCTCCTCACTGAAATGAGTGCTTTCCCATGTAGTCCCGTATAGCATGGTGTGCCTCCTTCTCTTGGGATCTGTGAGTATAACAACCTATCTTTCCAATGGCAGTTGTTAATTGATCTGCTGGCCTCCCCATATCTGAATAATAATACAACCTATATTTTTAAACAAAAATAACAATAAACATTTGACTAATTGAAAATATGGCAAGAAGGAAGCATAAGGGAAGAAAAGATAAACAGAAATCAAATAGGAAAATAGACTTATGCTTAAGTATAATTAGTAAATAAAATTTTAAAAAAGAGAGACAAGTGACAACCGACACCACAGAAATACAAAAGATAATAAGGAAATACTGTGAAAAATTACATGCCAACAACCTGGAGGAAATGGATAAATCCATAGAAACATACAATCTTCCAAGACTGAATCAGAAAAAAACAATGTGACGAATAAGGAAACCAAATCAATAAACAAAAGTCCTGGACCAGAAGGCTTCACAAGTGAATTTTACCAAACATTCAAAGAATTAACATCTATCCTTCTAAAACTATTGCAAAAAACTGAAGAGTAGGATGGATCCCAAACTCATTTTACAAGGCCAGCATTACCTTGATACTAAAACCAGACAAAGACATTACAAAAAAAATTTTTAGGCCAACATCCCTGATGAACATAGATGTGAAAATCCTCAACAAAATACTAGCAAACTAAATTCAGCCCCATACACCATGATCCAGTGGAACTTATTCCTGGGATGCAAGGTTGGTTCAATATCCACAAATTAATTAACGTGATACACCACATAAACAAAATGAAGGATAAAAATCATAGAATCCTATCAATGGATGCAGAAAAAACAATATGACAAAACTCAGCATCCATTTATGATAAAGACTCTCAGCAAACTGGGGACAGTGGGGACATACCTCAACATAATAAAGGTTATACATGACAAACTGAGAGCCAGCATCATACTCAACAGGAAAAGCTGAAAGTTTTTTCTTTAACATCAGGAAAAAGACAAGAATGTCTACTTTTACCACTTTTATTCAACACCATATTAGGAGTCCTAGCCATAGCAATCAAACAAGAATAAAAAATAAAAGGCATCCAAGTTGGAAAGCAAAAGTAAAACTACTGTTATTTGCAGATAACACAATACTATATATATAATCCAAATATTCCACCAAAAAAAATGAGAATAAATGAATCCACTAAGTAGCAAGATACAAAATTAACATTCAGAAATTGGTTGCATTTTTATACACCATAATAAACTATCAGAAAGAGAAATTAAGAAAACAATCCCATTTACAATTGCATCAAAAAGAATAAAATACCTAGGAACAAATTTAACCAAGAAGGTAAGAGACCTGTACTCAGGAAACTATAAGACACTGAAGAAAGAAACTGAAGACACAAATAAACGGAAGGATATACTGTGCTCATGGATAGGAGGAATTAATACTATTAAAATGTCCATACTACCCAAAGCAATCTACAGATTGAGTGCAAGCCCTATCAAATTACCAATGAAATTTTTACAGAACTAGAACAAACTGCTAAAATTTATATGGGACCACAAGACTCTGAATACCCAGAACAATCTTGAGAACGAAAAATGAAGTTGGAGGTATCACACTATCTTGATATCAAACGATACCACAAAGCTACAGTAATCAAAACAGCATGGTACCAGCATAAAAACAGACACACATATCAATGGAACAGAATAGAGGGCCCAGAAATAAACCCATGCATATATAGTCACTTAATCTATGACAAAGGAGGCAAAAACATACAATGAGGAAAGACAGTCTCTTCAATAGATAGTGTTGGGAAAACTAGACAGGCAATGGGAAAAAAATAAATCTAGACTTCTTTCATATACCACATAAAAAAATAAACTAAAAATGGATTAAAGACTTAAATATAAGACCTGAAACTAGGCCGTAAACTCTGTGACATCACTCTTAGCACTATTTTTTTTTTGGATATGTCTCCTTAGGCAAAGGAAACAATAGAAAAAATAAACGAATTAGGACTACATCTTATTAAATAGTTTTTGCACAGTGAAGGAAACCATCAACAAAATAAAAAGACAAACTACCAAATGGAAGAAAATATTTGCCAATGATACATCCGATAGGGATTAATATCCAAAATATATAAAGAACTCATACAACTCAACCAAAAAAAATAAAAATCCACAGAGAATCCAATTAAAAAATGGGCAGAGGACCTGAATCAATATTTCTCCAAACAGAACATACGGGTGGCCAACAGACATATAAAAAGATGCTCAACATTACTAATCATCAGGAAAATTCAAATTAAAACCACAAGATATCATCTGACACCTGTCTAAATGGCTACTGTCAATAAATCAATATGACAAGTGTTGGAACCTTGTGCACTGTTGTGAGATCATAACAGCCACTATGGGAAACAGTGTGGAGATTCCTCAAAAAATTAAAAATAAAACTAGCATATGTCTCAGCAATTCCATTTCTGGGTATTTATCTGAAGAAAACAAAAACACTAATACAAAAATATATATGCACCCCTTTGTTCCTTGCAGCATTATTTACAATAGCCAAGACATGGAAGCAACCTAAGCATCCATCAATAAACGAATGTATAAAGAAGATGTGGTACATGTATATAATGAAATATTACTCAGACATAAAAAAAAAAATGAAATCTTGCCATTTGCGACAACATAGATGGACCTAGAGAGTATTATGTTAAGTGAAATAAGTCAAATACCATATGATTTCAACTATATGTAGAATATAAAAAAATAAACAAATAAACAAAACAGAAACAAACTCATAGATGCAGAGAACAAATTGATGGTTGCCAGATGGAGGGGATGGGGAATGGGTGATAAAGGGACGTAAAGTACAGCATAGGGAATATAGTTAATAATATTTTAATAACTATCTGTGCTGTCAGATGAGTACTACTCCTAGTGGGGTGATCACTTTGTGAGGTGTATAAATGTCTAATTACTATGTTGTACAACTGAAACTAATATAATAATGTATGTCAACTGTAATAGAAAAATAAATTTATAAAAAGATCAACACACATAAATCAGCTGTGTATATATATCCTATATGCCAGCAATCAACAATCTGAAAAAGCAATTAAGAAAACAATTCCATTTACAATAGTATCTAAAAGAATAAAAGATCAACAAAGTATAAGACATTGAAAACTATATAAAACACTGCTGAACAAAATTAAAGACCTAAATAATGTTTAGAAAGACATCTTGTGTTCATGGGTTGGAAGATTTAATACTGGTAAGATGCCAATACTACCAAATGTGATCTACAGATTTAAATAATCCTTATGAAAATTCCAACGGACTTTTTGCAGAAATGGAAAAGCCAATCCTGAAATTTATATAGAATTACAAGGTGCCTAAAATATTAAAAACTATCCTTTAAAAGAATAACAAAGTTATTCCCGATCTGAACCATACTACAAAGCCACAATAATCAAAACATACTAGCATAAAGATGACTTATTATAAAGACAAATGGAATAGAACTGAGAGTTCAGAAATGAACCTATACAATATGGATAATTGGTTTGACAAGGACATCAAGACAAATTCAGTAAGGGGAAAAAAATCATCTCTTCAACAGATGGTATTGGGACAACTGGATTTCCACATGCAAAAGAAAAAACTGGACCTCTACCTCACAACATATATAAAAATTAACTCAAAATGGATCAATGACCTAAATATAAAAGCTAAGAATATAAAACCCTTAGCAGGAAACATAGGAGTAAATCATTACGGCCTTGGATTTGGCAGTGGATTCTTAGACATGACACCAAAAGCACGAGTGACAAAAGAAAAAACAGATAAATTGGACTTCACTCAAATTTAAAACTTTTATATATCAAAAGAAATTATGAAGAAAATTAAAAAAAAATTAGAGTGGGAGAAAATATCTGTAAATATTCAGAATACACAAAGAATCTTTACAACTCAATCAAGAGGCAACTAAATTTTAAACTGGGAAAAGGACTTGAATGTCACATAACGTGAGTGATCTATGAAGTGATGCTAAACATTACAAAAGTGATATGTTTTACATAAAGTACAAATGTTGTATGATTCTGTTTACATAAAATATTAGAAGAGGCAAATTATAGGGACAAAAAATAGTTTAGAGGTTACCAGGGGCTGCGTGGAAGGGGAAATTCAGAATTATTGCTAATGGATACAGAGTTTTTTTGGGGGTGATGAAAAAGTTTTTAAAATAGTGGTAATGGTTGTACAATATTGTGAATATAATCAATGCCACAAACTGTACACTTACAAATGGTTAAAACAGCAATCTGGATAATTTTTTTAGCATATAGTACACACATACACACATAAGAAAAAAAGACTTTGATACATCTCCTTCTGCTAAATAACTCTAGATTTTCACAACACTAAAACTGACTCTGTATGGAACTTTACAGAAGTCAGTGTTCTGCAATGTTTAATTTTATAGCAATACAAGTGATATGACTCCTAAAAACTGTGTGCTGAAATTCTAAACATGTAAGTTAAAGCAAAAATAATATTCTTTACCACTTTCTCAATAATCCAAGAAGCTCAATAAATAAAACTATCTACTTTGATATTATACACACACATCTATGCAAGTGACTATAAAACAGACTATGGCCTGTGTCTCTTTATTGTTTTTTACTCTGAAAGGACTGGATATTATGTAAATGCTGGTCACTGACATGAAGCCTTTAACACTTACAAAATACACTGCTCCAAAGCTGCCATGGCCAATTTCTCTGAGATCTGTGAAGAGCTTCTCTGGATCTTCTTTGAAGAAGAGCTCTGCAATTTCAGGGTCCTTGAGGCTGCCTGCTCTGTTAGTTGATGGCATCCTGCTGGGCAATCAGCTGTCTGATTCTAATTTTATACTGCTATCCCAATCCTTGGTTCATCTGTATGAATGAAGCCACGTTGGCATAAACTATTGTAGAGAAATAAGAAAAGAAAAAAGTCAGGAAAAGCAAAAGCTGTTAAGAATAATTAGTTTAAGATCATTTTTCCAACAGAACATATAAAATTATCTCAGGTCTAGAATTTCACCGAGAAGAAAGTGTGGTCTAGTAGTGAAATAGCTTCTAAACCCAGTTCACCATCATGATTACCTGTGGTGCTTAAAAAAGAAGATTCCTACTACACATAGTATATAAGTATGTACTATCCATATACTTTTAAAAGTTAAATAAATCTTTATATCTTGGAAGGTTTTATGTATCAGTACTTAAAAAATTTATCTAATCCCATGCAGTGAGCCCATCAGCAAAAGAGATAATGTAATACAGACTATTAAAAACAGGTACAACTCAAGATGTATCCATAGTATATTTCTAACAACAGGAAGAACTCCATGTATTAATGATCTTCAAATATAAGAAAATACACAAAAGATTTCATTCAGTAAGCTCTTTCTTTTCCTTTCAGATACCATGTGCCACTGTTTAGTCAACTATAAGACATTCCAGAGAAAAATGCAATGGGAAAGTAATGAATTTAACTCAGACAACTGCTTCCCCCATAAACTTGATTCACACAAAATATGGCCTTTATCAAATTTGCTTCATTAGATAAGCAGACACTAGAAATAACCAGTAAATCCCCTGGTGGTTCTGCTACAATACATTTATATCACATTACCCAATTTTTAAAATGACTCTGATAATTGAGAAACTTCAGATCTTGGGTTCTGGAATGACACTGCCTGGGTATAAATCCTGACAATACTATTTATAAGCTGTGACTTGGAAAGCCTCATTTTCCTAATCTGTAATATGAAAATAATAACCTCAGAATACTTATGAGGGTTAAATAAGTTAATATATGTAAGCACAGACTAGTACTCAGGCGTAGTAAGCACTACATTAAATGTTAGCTATTTTAACCTGCTTAAATTCACTAATTTAAAAAAAAAAAAAACCCTCCATAATTGATTTTGCTAGACTTCTAAGGGAAATTAAAGCTCTAGCCAATTATCCTCATGCTCTTTAATTTTTAAGCAGCTAACTACCTGTGTTATTTTTAGTGAAGACACTGAACAAATTTTAATTCTTGCTAGAAAACTTCTTTGTAACTAAACACATTTGTACCTCCCCAAATTAACACTACACTGCAATAAAAATATTATTTGTTAATTGTTATTTGTATTCCATTTCTAACATACTTTCAAAATTGCCCCATAACTTTTACCAATATCCCTCCCTGCTCTGGACATTCCCTGGAACAAAATGTTTCAACAATTAGAGTTCTTTCAAAAATATATGAGCATAGGAAAGTCACCTAACTTCTCACTCCTAAAATGAGGAGATTGAATTAAATTCCATATAAAGTGGAAATAATCTACCTGTTAAAAAAAATCTTCAGTGTTACTAACGCCTTATTCAAGAATTTTGAATGATCAAGTATTAGTACCCTTATTACATGAATTATTTTACATTAAAATTTTCATTACTAGTTCCATGATTTGCATCTTCTTTCTTATTTACCTAACAAATTCCCACTCAAAATCTTTCAAGATTTAGATTAAATGTAAAAATGTTTGTAAAATCTTAATTCTAGTAGGAAGAGCTGGTCACTCACTCTCCATGCTCCTAAATATCCTGCAACATTTACTGTATTACATTGCAATTATTTATCTCTCTCCTACACAGGCAGGCACGATATGTCTCATTCATTTTTATATTACCTCCCTACATTATACATCCTACCTCCTACAGTAAATATTACATAAATATTTGTTGAACTAAAAAAAAAAACTTATGTATTCTCTTGATACCACCCCTAAAAATGATCTTTCACAAATATTTACTGAACAAATAGGATAAACAAGACTATTACATGTAAAATATTAAAATTGATAGCACAGAAATTGAGTAAATTCATAAGGATAGCCACAATAAATGTGATAACAGTTAACACTCTTAAAACAATTGGAAAAGCATAAGTTCTTAGAGAAGTAGACATTACCAAAAAAAAAAAAAAAACACGGAAAATTTAGAGCTGAAAAACACAGTATTGGAAATTTAAAAAAACCAACTCATTGCACAGGTTCTACTACAAAACAGGGATGACAGAGGAAAAGAACTAGAGATTAGAGCAATGGAAATTATCTAAACTGATGAACAAAAATAGAAAAAAAATGAATAGTACTTTTGTGACTTGTGGAACTATATCAAATTGTCTAAGTTTCACAACACTGGTGTTACATAAAGAGAGGAAAATTAAACTGGTAGAGAAATAATTTTTTTTTAGTAATGGCAGACAAATTCCCAGATTTGACAAAAAGAAATAACTGTAGAGGTTCTAGAAGCTCAGCAAAGCTCCAAACAGGAGAAATGCAAAAAAACCAAACAAACAAAAAATCAAGGTTCTGCTCAAGATGGCAGAGTAGATAAACACTGTGCTCGCCTCTTTCCATGACTATTTCAAAATTACAGCTAAACTACAGAACCATCATTGAGAATTGACTTAAGTTTAGCTCAAAAGAAGTCTTATAACTGAAGATCTACAGAATAAGCCAATTCAAGACTTATTTTAGGAGGGGCAGAGAAAACATACGGGACCAGTCTGGTCCCACATCCACTAGTGGTGGTTAAAAATGAAGGGGTATCTTGGCTGCGGAGGTTTCCCCTGAGGAGCAGTAGGTCCCAGCCCCACACCAAGGTCCCCAGCCCAGTATTGCACTGCCAGGGAGAGAAGTCCCCATAACCTGTGGCTGTGAAAACCATTGGTGATTGTGACTTAGTGAGATGGAGGGCTGCTGGAGTGAAAGGCGTTCCTCTTAAAGGGCCCACGCACAGACTTGCTCACTGACTGACTCACTTGCTCTAAGCTCCAGCACTAGGCCAGCAGTTTGAAAGGCATCATCGACATATCGGGATGAATTGTTTGGCTTCAGAGAGAGAGATGGAGGGGCAGCTTTCTTCCAGATAAAGTTGCGGCAGAAGCCATTATTTCTTTGTTGAGCCCTCCCCCAAACCAGTCTGCATGCACAGGTAGGCACCATTTCTGAGTCTCTATCAACATAGCTAACACCATTTGCCCTGACCTGGGGATTCCCTGAGATCCAGCCAACCTAACTTGTGGGCCCACCCAAGCCACTTCCAGTGGTTTTCCATACAAATGCCTGTCTTGGCTCACACTGAGGACTTTCCTAAAATCTCTCAAAGGTTCACAAACTCCAAACAAGCAGCAGCTGGCCTTGGCATGCCCCATACCTCTTGCTAAGCAGCTCCAAGCCCGCACTAGTGAGTGGCAGCCAGCCTCAGTTCACAGCTTAGTCTCTAATAAGGAACCCTCAAGCCCAACAAAAGTGGCAACCATCTGCAGATCACTTTATAGCTCATACAAAGTGGCCCTGGGCAGGGAACAGACAACAGCTAACCTTTGCCTGCACCAGAGCTCCTCCCTACAGGCCCTAGAACCAACAGACCCAGTGGCTAGTTTCAGACCACACCAGAGCACCACTCAATCACCGCTACAAAACAGACACCTAAAGGGCAGACTCAACACTCACCAGAGCCCTGCTAAAGCAAATCCTGCTCCATAGGGTCAGTCCTTGTACAATAGCTCCTCTGCTGTAGTCACGACCAGTCCTCACAACCAATCAGCCTGAGGGTCAATCCCTCCAACTGACATGCAAACATCAACCAAAGTTCAACTACAACAGGAGGGCACATACAACCCACAAAAGGGACATACCTGGAGTACATGATCAGGAAACCAAGGACACTGTGCCACTAGACTCCACAGGACACCTACTACATAAGGCCACTCTACTAAGATTGGGAGATGTAGTAGCCCTACCTTATAGAAACAGACACAGGGAGGCAGCCGAAATGAGGAGACAAACACGTCCCAAATGAAAGATAGAACAAAATTAAAGAAAAAGAACTAAACAAAATAGAGACAAGCAATCTACCAGATGCAGAGTTTAAAACACTGGTTATAAGGATGCTCAATGATCTTAGACATAACTTCAACAAAGATACAGGAAACATAAAAAAGAAGATAGAAAACATAAAAAAGAACCAGTAAGAAATGAAGAATACAATAACTGATGTGAAGAATACATTAGAGGGAATCAACAGATTAGATGAAGCAGAAGATCAAATCAACAATTTGGAAGATAAGGTAGCAGAAAACATCCAATCAAAAGAGCAAAAACAAAATGAATACAAAAAAAAAAGAAAATGAAGATAGTTTTTTTTTTCCTCTTTAATTCCCCCATCCCCTTCTATCCCTATGGATGTTGCCGTTTCCCCTTAAGAACTGGATCTCTGAAGGTGGGGCGACTCCTCGCACATGCTCATGGCGTGCACCCGGGGCCTGGCACACCTGGGGCGCAAATCCAGGACCTTCTGTGTGTAAAGCAGACATGCTAACCACTACACTTTGGAGCCATCCTCAAATGAGGATAGTTTAAGGGGGACAACATTATGCATACCAAAATTCACATCATAGGGGTAACAGAAGAAAAAAGAAAGCAAGGATTTGAAAAAAAAATGACTGAAAACTTCTCTAACCTGGTGAAGGAAATAGACATAGAATTCCAGGAAGTAGAGTCCCAAACAAGATGAACCTAAAGAGGCCCACACCATAGACACATCATAATTAAAATGCCAAAGGGAGACTCTTAAAAGCAGCAAGAGAAACAGCAGTTACCTACAAGGGAGCTTCCATAAGACTGTCAGATGATTTCTCAACAGAAACTTTGCAGGCCAGAAGGGGGTGGCATGAAATATTCTAAGTGATGAAAAGCAAGGAACTACAACCAAGAATACTCTACCCAGCAAAGCTATCATTTAGAATTGAAGGACATATAAAGATCTTCCCAGACAAGAAAAAGCTAAACCAGCATTACAAGAAATGTTAGAGGACAAGAAAGAAGAGGAGGTGGCAGGAGGAGGAGAGGGAGGAGAAAGGGAGTGG